TATAATTGACCCGTGATCAAAAAAGGTTGCCGACCACTGCTATAAACTATTCTACAATTTTTTGCTTTTACATTGAAAACTTCTAAAGGTTTTCACTTCACAAATTACTGGTAGTCTCCATTATCAATAGGAGACCAAACTGCAGTGTGTACTATCATGTTGTACTACTCTGATATTTTTACCACATCATAGTTTCAGCTGTACCATAGTGTTTTGCTACCTCTTTAGTTTCTAATTTTTCACTTGAATTACTAACTTCCCTAAATCAAGTAATAGTTCTTAACTCTGATATCTAAGGGTAGTTATAAAGAAAATCCCATATTTAAAGTGACTTAATCTATAGGGGAGCTAAATTTCATCAGAGGCTGATTAAGAATTAAGTTTGGACATGGTGAGGGTGTTTAAAACTCTGTCATAGAGGATGTCATTATGCTTTCTGTCATTTTCAACCATTATGTCAAATTTATCTGAATGAAGCTACTGCAAGCATCAGTTTAGTAGTGTGTTCATTGGCCCTTGCACTATCCTGCACTCTGACATGCATCTTATTAAAATCACCAATCTTTTTTTTGGTTGATAAAAGAAAGGAATGCAATATAATATGGTTTTAAAACGTTTAATGTGGGTCCACATTTAAATGAACAAAACTTGTTATTCTCAATATGATTTGTGAAATTTCACCCTTCTAGGACAATACCACAGTGTTTCTAAAGTTTTTCAATTTATCAAATACTGATATATATTCCATAATCACACAGTGACTCTAATTGTAACACCTACTAGGATATTATTATATGCATTAGTTGTATGCTTGCATTTTGTATTTGTGACCCCACTTTTTTCTACACCAGAATTTCAGATTCTTTCATGTATGCATCAATACCTCATGCAGGTGTGTGTAATGGAGATAAACAGCTTAAGTTTTCTAGACTTGTATGAGTCATCACACATATGTTTGTAGTTTAAGAAGCAGCTGTAATGTATGAGTTGTATAGTTTTGACAGGTATCTATCCTGTCAGTGTTTGCTCATTGTTTTTCAGCTAGAAACTTGAGGAATAATTAGAACATGTGACCAGCTATTTTCGTAATGTAGGCTATACATGTTACACAGAAATGTACCATTATATTCTTGTAGGATCGGCCATGAGCTCAATATACATTCAGTACTGAAACATTTTTCATGGATAAATTACATGTTTGTATGTACTTTTACATTTTAAGAATACATTGCAGTTGATGTTACATACATAAAAGCAAATCATAAAGAGTATAGCCACAGCTGTTATTGTGCAGTAATATCATTGTACATGTGTCTAATTGTAACTTAACAAAACTTACTTTATTTTCTTATTATTTACAGTATGATTACCAGCTACATTATAAAGTTTCTTTGTTATTAAAAAAAATATTTTGACATTTCAAAAAAAAGTGTTCTGCCATTTATTTTTATAAATAATTAGATTTAGTAACTGAATTTTATCATCTTGGTACTACAGATTTATTTTTTAGAAAGCTTGATATAACCTACAATCAATAATATATTCTTAATTATGTTGTATTCTTATGGAAAATATTGTCTTTTATAACTATTCTTAGTACACTTAAACTACTTACAAATGTTATGTCCTGTAGGTGGAAGTCATTGCAAGGTTGTTATCCTTAGCCATGAATCCTTATGAAACTCATTTAATAAGTTGCTCTTAAAGTCAACTTCATACTTTTTTTTGTATAAGTTTAGGATTAGTTTTGGACGCTGTACCTGTGTAACTTATATTTAATACTTATTTCAAAATACATGATTCAGACTATTTTTAGTGTTCTAAAAATCTTACCTAGTAATAAATAATATCTTGGGTACTAGATTAACAACTCCCTTACATTAGGATTATTTGCAAGGATTTTCTGTCAAGTTCAGAACTACTCCCAAATCCTTTTGTTTTATAGTTGATATGAAAATTGCCTTAATATTTAAGTTGGTAATATATTTAGAAGATTTTGTATATGCATGTATAAATACATTGTTATTAACCATTCATATCACTGTAGAATATGAATAACATAAGAAAATAACTTTGTTTAAGGAATCGAGTGCAGAACTGTGACTGATGGAAACAGTACTCAAGATATAGTAGACCTTAAAGTTTAATTTTAGGTACTTCCAATAAAACTAGCTTAGGTAACCTATAAAAAATTAAAATAATTTCATTATCATCGCATTAAGTTATTATTAATCATTTTAATTGTTCAAGAATTACTAAGATATTAAACTACTAAAACTTGATTTCAGTTTTATAAACATATATTTATTTGAGGATATTTGGTTATTATTCATATTTGATTCAGTGATGTTTGGTGTATGAATTGTTTCTTCTCACTAAATGTAGTCGCTGGTCACACCCAAACTACATGTGGCCGATTTCTTAAACGATACCAGGAAGTGTGAGGCATGCTTAAGAATATTTTGATAAATTTTATCTATAATACAATATGTTTCCAGTTATATTAGGTTTCTCACACAATAATAAAAGAATACAACTATAATGTGATAAAAGTTTAAAGCAAAGAAATTCTTAAAATCACTGCAAAACCTTTAAAAAATTGATTATTTTTAGACAAAACAAATTTCACCTTCTCTGTGTTTTGAAAATAATTGGCAAAGAGCACACATTTTTGGTTTTCTAGGAGTTTTATGGTCAGTTGTGTTTCTTTAGTGACACTAGCAGAATTAAAAAGATAAATTTTATGAAATGTATAGCAATGAATGAGGTTGAAAATAATTTCTTTGTATTTAAAAATAAGTAAATGAATGACTATTATAATGATGCATTCATTTCATAAATTAAAACTTGATGAGCATGCATGGTCCACCTTGGTGGATCAATGGTAAGTTTATGGACTTACAATGCAAAAATCTGGGACTCAGTTCCTTGCAGTGTACACAGCAGATAGCTCAATGTGGCCTTGTGCTAAAACGAACACTAAGCATGCGTTATGGAGATTGATACCAAAATGTTATTGTAGTTTGTCTTAATGAAAAATGGATAAAACTATATTGTACAATGCAAAATTTCGAAATTACATAATGAAACAAAAATTATAATGTTGGAGTTAATTGAAAATGAACCATTAAATTGATATTTCTCACTATTTGCTAGCAAATTTGATTCATTAATATTTTTTCTTTTAGGTTTTAAATGAGACATTTCCAGACCACACATTTCTACTGAATGGATTAATAGTAGGAGTCAAGGTGGGTGTGATAAGTTATCAACAATTCATGCATGTAATAGTACCAATTTCACCTGTCTTTAATCCCAGGACCCATAAATGTTGTGCTATTATTATTGAAGTGTATGAATTATATTTAGTTTTATACTCTGTAAAACAGGGTTTGTCTGTTTTTTTGTTATGATAATGGTACTTATATTTAGTGTGATAAAGTCTAGCATCCTCATTATCTATGTGCACAAAAGAGCACATCGTTTAATTCTGATACTGTCTGAAACTTTTTCTCTGCAATGAATTAAATTTGTTCAATACTCTAATGTTAAAGGCTTCTTCATTTTCAGGGATTTTTATCTTTCCTAAGTGCTCCAATGATAGGTGCATTATCAGATGTCTGGGGAAGGAAAGCGTTTTTATTGTTGACAGTCTTCTTCACATGTTCACCTATTCCATTAATGAGGATTAATACATGGTAAGTCAATGATAGGTGCATTATCAGATGTCTGGGGAAGGAAAGTGTTTTTATTGTTGACAGTCTTCTTCACATGTTCACCTATTCCATTACCGAGGATTAATACATAATAAGTTTGTATTAACAATAAATAATAGTGGCTGTAATTATAACATATTACCATGTAAGAGCAAGTTTTTTCTTTCACATTGCAATTTTGTTTAATTCATAACTAGTTCACATTCTCAGCAACTGCTGTTAAAAACTGTGATCGAAAGCTTGTGAATTAAATAATAAAAAATGAGAATATGTTGAACATGTACATTATAGATGTACTTCGATATATGATATTTAAGACTTGTTTTAAACTGGTTTCATATTTTTCTAACTGTGGGTAGTTTGAAATATAAAGTAAGAAAAGTAAACATGCCTATTATATAGGAGATAATCAAATCTTATTGCTGTGTTGCAAATGACATGCTCTCAGTTAGAAACAACTGATTATGACAAATATTAGTCCTGCACGTGGTTTTTTTTTCACCTAGTAAACTCGCAGGTATGGAAAGCTATTTTTTTCCCCTCCAGATGTAGTGTTAGTGTAATGGTTTCATTTATCTACCTGCTAGTGGAATGTTCTTATCAGGAATACTTTAATGAACCTGTTCACACTAACTTGTTAACACAGGAGAAAAACTATTATTTGTTTTTGAAAGAAAAATCTCTATGAAATCATTGAAGATTTAAGATTTACATCTACTTATTGTGATACCAAAATAAATGAAAAAACTAGTTATTGTGGAGCAAGCACATAAAAATATTATTTTTTCAAGAAAACTCAGAAACTGAATGACATGTGACAGATATTTTTACTGTTCTCAGGTTAAGAGGTGATACCAAAACTAACAAATGAAGTCAAGAATTATCACTTGCTTTAAGTGGTACCCAATTAGCTTATGAACAATATGGAGTTTTGAAGCAGCTATTTGTGGATTAATAGATTTATTTCTGTACAAGTATTTATGCCTAACAGTGAGACATGATCACATACAACATTTAAAGTACAACTTATATCTTAAATGTTGTACCTAACTTCATAAAGCAGCTTGAGAATTAAATGTTTAATGTACATTTATATTTTCCTAGCAATGCATAATCATTTTCTTGGAATCTTTAAAAACCAAGCTTCTTATAGAATATCAAATAACTGTCTTAATATGAATTTAATATAACATTTATGAGTTACTGTGCTAGGCAATTTCATTAAATGAAAAAGGTTAAAGTATTATGAACTTCTTTGATTCGTTTGTTTAGGTATATGGTTTATATATTGCTGTTCAGAACTTGATTAATTACCTCAATGCATATTTTTATGTCCTTAGGTGGTACTTTGCTATGATCTCAATATCGGGTATATTTGCTGTTACTTTTTCGGTTGTATTTGCGTATGTGGCAGATGTGACAGAAGACCATGAACGAAGTTCTGCATATGGTTTGGTGAGTTATTGAAGAGGAAATTTCATTTCAATAGAACAATTACTTGAATTGTTTAGAAATTTTCCTCTAAAAACAATAGTAAATTATTCTCCATAAAAAATCATTTATTCAGTTCGCATCAGAAAGAATGACCCGATAAACTGAGAGCATCAGACTTGAGCAATTTCGGTTATTTTGTTTCAGTTATTCATCTAACTTTTTTTTTTCCAAATATCTCTTCTAACCTTCTTATTACTCAAGTTACTTCAACAAAATAAAATCTTCATTCTTTCAACATAGCTAGATTGTATTATTATTATTTTGTTTCAAATTCCATCAACTAAAAGGTATGTCAAAGATAGAAATGCAGTAAGTAGTATGAATACTTTCAAAGGTAATTAATCCTCGCACATCGTGCCTGTCTTCAAGTTGTGCTGATATGATATTGTTAGAGAAGAAAATGTCCAAGATTTTTAGATAACAGATAGGTGCAAAATCAATCTATACATATATGATATTGTTAGAGAAGAAAATGTCCAAGATTTTTAGATAACAGATAGGTGCAAAATCAATCTATACATATGTGATATTGTTAGAGAAGAAAATGTCCAAGATTTTTTAGATAACAGATAGGTGCAAAATCAATCTATACATATATATGATATTTCGAAGTTTTCAAACATTACTTTCAGTTAACAAAAAGTATCTGAAATCAATACTTTTCCCAGTGGCATTAACTGCTCGTGGTAACTGATGCTGCAACAGAAAAGACTACCAATCCTATCTTTATATATGTTTTACTCAAAGAAACCTGTTAATAAGGCTGTACCAATTATAAGCTTATAGAAATATTCAAACACTGAAAAATGTATGAACTTGGCATAACCAATGATCATGTTATATTTGCTGGATAGAGTTTGCCAAAGTTAATTCATCTTTGTAAAGGTTACAGTAAAATTTATGTAAAGTCTATCCTCTAGCATGTCTTTGTAGAATGAAAGAAAATATAGAGAAAGCAAACTCTCAAAAGAAGAGAAGGTTATATACAAATATATATTATACTTATTTTCCGAGAAAAAGCATGAAGACTTAAACTAAGAAGGAATAGCAACTTCAAAGAGCAGAATTATTTTAAAATTATTTATCTATAGTCCTAAAAATATCAGAATGTATCAAAACTAAGCTTTTCATAGTTAAAAGGTGAAAAAAAGTATTTCTTATGCATAGCTAATGCTTTTGTGTTTCACAGGTTTCTGCCACATTTGCAGCAAGCCTAGTCACAAGTCCTGCTCTAGGAGCCTACCTGTCACAGGTTTATAGTGATAATCTAGTGGTGGTATTAGCATCTGCTATAGCTCTTCTTGATGTAGTCTTTATTTTGGTCGCAGTACCAGAATCTCTACCAGAGAAGCTAAGACCATCGTCATGGGGAGCTAACATTTCATGGGAAAATGCTGATCCTTTTTCTGTAAGCTTCTAATTATTGATATTGTTTTAAGTTTAATAAAAAATTGTGCCAAAGTTACAGTTTTATCTGAGAATGATTATTCTTTTAGTTTTAGTAATTTAGTTTTCAAATTAAAGCTATGGACTATTTCTGGCAAGATGAAAGCATTTAGGTAACTTCAGTAAAAATAAAATAACTTTGAAACTAAAGGTAGTCAATGAACCAATTTTATTGTTGTGGAAAATTAATATTATTACTTATTTCACTTGCTAGTTTAAAAGAAAAGTGATGTTGAGGCTTAATTTGCATCCATGTTAATGCTGCTCTTTTCTACAAGTCCTCAAAACATCCAACTCTTTTAAGAGTTCACATGTTTTATTTACTTGAGTTGCATCTGTGTGATCACTGTTTAATTTCCAGCCAATTATTGTTTTGAAATTTGTGTAAATGTCAAACAAAAATATAAATGCCATCCTGCAATGGTTTTCTTAAGAAGTAATAATACCTGAATGTTTTAAAAGTAATACAAAAAAACATAACCCTACTGTCAGATTATTGTGGGATGTATACTCATTTGAACCTTTTTTTTTTAATTAAATTTTAAATAGGTAAATAAACTTATTTGACAGTTTATATTTCCCCATTAAAACTCCTTTAGTGTATTTTACTCTTTTTTTTTTTTCAATGCTAAAGTGATTTATGTCATACATCAGTTCTTTCTGCAGTTATCAATAAAATTTCACAAAAACGTTGTAGGACTATTAACTGTACTGAATATCCTGACAAGTTTGTTTACACCTCTTTTGAATATTGAAATGTTTTATGAGCTGTTTAATCATTTTGTCTTATTAACTTCAAATGGATTTTCTAGAAATAAGTACAGCTGATTCTTATGTATGTATACAACCGATAAAGAAATTTTCCCTTTTCTTAAGTTGTCTGTCTGTTTTTGCATAAATAACACAAGATAGTTAGAAAAGTCAGTGCCAGTTTGTTGGTACCTGGATATTTGTATGGACAAGCTATAAAGTCTGCATCTCTAGTGAGTTTTTTTTTATTCACTGTGTTCATTTCATACACACTTTACTGATGTTTAGGTCGATCAGTGTATTAAACTATGTTCTTGCATATTACTTTAGATTACTGTTATTTTAAAACTTGGAGTAAGTAGCTTACATTTAGTTCCTACAAAGATTTCTTCCACTTTCACATGTGTTGTGTGTATAGAATGTTTTTGTCTCGTTTATTGTGCAAATAAGTGTTAATTTGTTGTCTATTTTTTTAAGGCACTTAAGAAGGTTGGAAAAGATCAAATGATTCTCATGCTTTGTACAGCAGTATTTCTCTCATATCTTCCTGAGGCAGGCCAATACTCATGTTTTTTCGTTTATCTGAGATTAGTAAGTATTAGTATTAAACTCACTGAAGTTCCAGCTCTGTTAAAAATCCAATATTTATTTCAACAAACTTTAAACCATAAACATATAACATTGTATCCTTGTTGTTGAAATTAGTAGATTTTATATATAAGATATCATTCATTTTACAATCCAAGAATACGGGGGATAAAATTCTTGTGAAAAACAGATAGGATGTAGTATGATTTGGGGATACGGTTCTTCAGAAAATGTTTTACAAATATTGTGTAAATTTGACCCCATTTTCACACAGTAGAAGCCAAGATCTGATGGAAATCAGGGACGAAAAAATTAGCGATATTAGTGTGAAAATAAGGAATTGTTAGATTTTTTTACTCTAATGTCTATTTTATCTTTTTGAGTCTCTTGAATTAACGTATTTATTTTAGAATTTTTATCATTTTATTGTGAGCCATTATTTTGGACAAAAAACCCAATTTTATGTTGGAGAAATTATACTTTTATCAAATTTATGAAGGTAGTGAGTACCACCCACCTGTATTGGAGGTATGGGCTCCTGGCCATCTATTTCTAACACCTATAAAACCATAGTAATGCTAATATTAAACAGTTTTTTTTTGGCATAGCTTTAATTACATGTCCCATGAAAATCCAATAATCATATTGCATTGCCTTATACATATTATGACTACATTTTATGTAACTATAATGAACCATAATAGTAGTTTATAATAGAGATCACAAGGAACTGTACAAAACCTTAATAGAATGTTTGGGCAAAAAAGCACCTTAAACAGTAAAGATTTAGTTCAAACAATACTTTCAAATCTTTACTATTGACTACGAAGGCTGTACACATAAAAATGCACAAAAATAGAAAATCTGCTAAAAACGACCCATTCGTAATTCTTCTTAGTATGATTCTCTTGCCAGCCTACAACAAAAATGACTATGTTGCACCCAAACTTTTTGTAGAATACTTAATAAGGTACTGTGAAGGTTGTAGGGGTATTCAAAAGTTGATTTGTTTCATCTATATTTTACATAAGCTACAAAACATCATAATTCTAGTGTAAATGATGATATCATTACCCATTGAAGTTAGCTTTCTTGCAGATTACTCGTATTCCTTTGAAAAGCTTAAGTACAGGGTGAAATAGGAATTACCAATCAATAATAGATGAAAATTAGGTGACTCTAACATGTAGTTACTCAGTGCTTTGAACACTATACAGTTGGTGTCTTTAGGGAGCTAACTCCTATATCATGTATGAAGTGAAGGAGAAAAAAGAAATCAATACACACATTTGTAGAATAATTACTTTAAAAGACACAAAGTTTTATTTAAAGCATTGTTTTAGATGTATATATATTTTATTTGAAATGGCTGCTTTTCTACTGGTAAAATTTTGTACTAGCTTAGTAGGGATTGTTCTTAGTCTAGGCATGTATTTGCCCATTGCTATACATTCTATATAGAGAATTTAGTTACAGAGAAACTAAATGCTCACTATGTTCCCAAACAAACCTCCAGCTGCAGCTTAACATTTTACATCTTTAACAAATGTGATCAACTAGTCAATAGCTACAGTAAATCATCATGTACCATACCAACTAGCTATTAGCTATGTTTATTATCATTACAATATATAAAATTAGCTACCATATCAAGTAATCCTTTGCCCATAATTGAACATAAAAAAAGCTAGCAAACAAGATAAATAAAAAATTGGGAATTTAAAAACCTATAAGTAGGAATGGTAAAAAAAGAAAGCAAGCAAGGCAGGAGATGCTGTAGACATTATTTACTCAAACTACAAACCCCTTTTTTTGCTCCATGCTATTACCTAGAATTACATTTGGTGGAGTCAAAATAAGTATGTGTTGTTTGAGTAAATAATGTGAACAGTATTTCCAACCTTGTTTCCTTACTTTTTTTATGATCCCTATTTGCAGGTTTTTAAGTTCCCAATTTTTTATTTATCTTGTTAGTCTAAAGTAGTTTCTTTAGCCCTAACTGAAAACTGGAATAATCTGTTAGGAAGGTCTCTTTAGTCAAAGAAATTTCAGTGTTGACATAAGGTGATCAGCTAAATTTTGTACAATTTTGCTAAGATTATTCTCAGATCTTTAAAATAGCTTTTGGTAGTTTGCTTAAATAATGTATTCCATCAAACTTGGTTTGAGTTAATGTAAAGAGTTTTACTTTATGCAGGTCATGGGATTTTCAGCTGAAGAGGTTGCCTTATTTATTGCCATTGTGGGTCTACTCTCTGTTGTGGCACAGGTGAGGTACATTCATGAAGAAGTTATTACTTTGACCCCCCCCCCCCACACACACACAATCAGTCATGACTTGTGTCCATTTTTTCATTCTTTATTTTTAGTTATACTTGACATTTTAAAGAAATAAAGACACATTCTTTCTCATCATTCAAAGCATCCTTCAAAATAACTAATCCACAACAAAATTAAACATCTTGATTTTAATGTCACTTTTATTACTTACTTCTGGGCAAAAGTGTCCATCTTACTTTTCATGATTAGTACCAAAATAAGTGTTTATTAAACACACTGGCTATAACCTATGTAAGCTGTAACCTGTTAAATGCATTATATGAAGTTAAAAGTTAAGCTTATTTATATTAATTTTATGCCTTTTGTGTATTAGAAGGTTATTGGATACCAGTCTTTCTTGCTCTAATAAAAGCTTGAGATTTTGATTTTATCACTTTACGTCTGGAGAAACAACTTAATATTGCTAGTCTCACCTTTTTTTTTTTTCAATGTTCTACAACACTTTTTAAAGTACAATCTCCAGTCGTTTTCTTGTAAAATTTCAAACTAACTAAGTTTGTTAAAAAGTAAATGCAAAGTTATTTGGATTTTTATTGCTACCAGATCCTGTATAAGAAAATAACATTATTTCCCATAGAAAGTTGTATTCACTGAGTTTGTTAAAAATAAATTCAAAGTTATGTGGATTGTTCTCATTAGCAGATTCTGTACGTGAGAATGATGTTACTTCCCATAGTATGTTACGTTGACCGTGTTGATTTAAGAACTAAATTATCTTTTTTCTCTCTTTAATTTTTTAGGGCCTAAATTATCATTCCATTGACTTTTATGTTGTCTTTTATTTTTTCATGGACAGTTATTATCAATATATACTGCTCATAAATTCTGTATAGTTGTTGATAGTGGATGTTTATAAATAGTACTTTTTTGTCTGTAGACAATTATATTGACGATGTTGATGAAAACACTGGGGAATAAAAACACTATTATGATTGGACTTTTCTTTGAAATGTTGCAGTTAATGTGGTATGGTTTTGGCTCACAAAGGTGGTAAGTTCAATGATTTCTTGTTTTCTTTTAGCATTAGAAATAATAACAAATGAGAAATGTGATCATACACAGTGTATATTTAATATTCTCAAGCATTTAGTTGAGTTGACACTTTGGGATGGGAGATATGTTTTCTTCAAATATCTTTAACTCATCTCAAAACTTTGAAGTGTTTACATTACCAGTACTTTACTAAAGGTGTTTGAAAAATGTCAAGAAAACACAATATTGATTAAAAGACTGGACAGTTTTGATTATTTGTTTTTGTGAATATTTGTATTTGACTTGTATACATAGTTCTGATTTTGTTAGGATGATGTGGGCAGCTGGTGGTCTGGCATCATTATGCAGCATTACTTACCCTGCTATTAGTGCCTTTGTTTCAACACATGCAGAAGTTGACAAACAAGGTAACTGTTTTTTTACATTGGTATTTGTTACTGTTACCAAAATAGTTAGTTTCTAATTCACTTATCTTTATGGTTATATTTTAATCACCACAAATAAAAACCATTACTGAACTCTTTTTTTTTTGTGGGGTATAAAGTGGTATTAATAGCTGTCAATTACCACTGCTTTTTTTTCAACAGTAAGCAGATTTAAATACCTATCAATAAGACAGTTTTTCTCAGCATATATATATATATATACCACAGAATATTCATTACTTTCATCTCCTTATGCAATTCTGACTTTAAAGTTGTGCAACAATTAAATTCCTCTGTTTATTAAAGAAGATAGATAAGGGCTTATTTCATCAGTTTCATTTTGAAATAAATTTCTTGATAAAGCACCATTTTGATTTGATTCCATGTTGAATGACTAATAGTCTTAGTGTATACAGTATTATAAACATACATATTTTCGTATCCATGATACAAAAGCACTAAATTTATGTAGTATTATTGTGTGGTTGATATTTGTAACAAACTGTCTGTGTTGTTTCTTCAGTACAATGACATTTCAGCTTAAAGTCCTCACTCAAAAGACAAGGCAGGCATATTTCATTACAAATTTCAACTGTACAATGTCTACATTGCCTGAAATACCAATTGACGAGCACTACGTAAATTTAATAAAGGTTTATAAGACCTTGAGAATGTCACTCTTAATTATTTTTTTAGAGTAATAAACAAAAATGTAAATATATATCAATTCATTTTCTAAATCAAACAACCATTTTCACAGGTGTAGCTCAGGGAATGATAACGGGGATGAGAGGATTGTGTAATGGCTTAGGACCAGCTGTCTATGGTTTCATCTTTTATCTATTCCACGTGGATCTAAATGATGAAGCCAACTTGGAAAAATCGGTCATTAATACTCAGAACAGAATTTCCTCCAATATCACTTACATTCTAAATCCGGAAGACACACAGGTATTGTTTAGTGAGTTACAGTAAGTATATGTATGAAACCATTTGGAAAAATGTCAATTCATGAAAAATTGTGATGTTTTCAATACTGAAAGTGAGAATTGTAATTTTAAGTTAATACATAAAGTACAAATAAAGATTAATGTTCTAATCAAAACTAGTATTGTAGTATCTTATCCATCCGAGTTCTTGAGTTATGAAGAAAGTTAAAAGAAATGAAATAATAGATTAAATGTCAAAAAAGTAAAAAGAAATAATTGTAAAAACTTCAACAGAACAAAGCATAATTTCTCAATTTAATTACAAAAAATCTGTAAAGATGCTTAACTTTGGAAGTCAAGAGTTTTCTGTTTCAACAACTTTTGTCTAATTGAAATATATATAAAGTTCAGAGAATGATATTGTAATAATAAATTTCAAACAATGAGTTTTAACAATGTTATAAATATTGAGTATTTCACTGTTTTTAACCATAATATTGTACTTTCCAGGAATGTTTTGAGACTTAAATGTTGTTTTCACACAAATAATTTTGAAAGATTAGTTGGGGTAAAGGCTTTTATAAAGCTTTTGTTATTTACAATATTCCTTTTAGAAAAAATCAGCTGTAGATCTCAGTTACAAACTTAACACTTAGTAGGCTAGATTGCTGGTCACAGTATGTCTAACCAGCTAAAATGCAACATTATCATTCAGGGGAATGGGCTGCATGCATGGCTTAATGGCTAGCATGTCAAACTATGAATCTGAGGGTCCATGGTTTGCATTTCATTGCTGCAAAATCACTCTCCACACTTTGAGGCTGTGAATACATTATAAAAGGAGCAACCAAATCTCATTATTTGATCAGAGCAGCCAAAGAATAGACAGTAGATGCTGTTGTCTGTACTTTCCCTCTAGTCTAGCTTTGTAGGAATATCTAAAATAAACAGACATTCAGACATCTAACACAAGTCCCCGCCCCAGTGGCATGGCGGTATGTCTGCGGACTTACGATGCTATAGAAACCGGGTCTGGATACCCGTGATGGGCAGAGCACAGATAGCCCATTGTGTAGCTGTGTGCTTAATTCTAAAACAAACAAACAAATCTAACACAAGCCGTGGAAATAAATAGTTTAAATTGATGATGGACACACACACATATGTACCATATTCCTACATAATACTAAATTACAGCTAAAATTTTTCATCCTAATATACCCTGAAAACTTACTATAGACATCAGTTAACTAAATCATAAAATATAGCTGTTATTTTCACTGCAGTTCCTTAAAAGAAATCGAAGTTTACCTATGATACGTATTACAATTTCGAATGGTCTGAAATAGAGCTAAATGATAATTTAAATTTTGTAATTAAATATATATGTCAATATATCTCTAATTTATGATATTTGCCAACAAGATTCATACACAGTTTTCTTTTTTATTTAATACACAAACTTATAAGCAATATAAAGTCTTCTTTCATAGTCTGGAACTTCCTTGATGTCTTATCGAGGGTTCATGATGAGCGAGTTAATTTAGAGTAGACGTAGGTACAATTCACTTAACGGGGAGCTAGCTAGCTCTGTGAAATTCACTGATCACATGCCGATTTTTTTTCTACCGATGAAGTTGGGTAATGTTTTCATAAAAGTACTAATGTCCGATGTGAATCCACTGAAGTTGAATGATTTGTAATGTTCAAAATTTATA